TATAAAAATGTAAAGTGATAACAAAAACTCAGATTTGTTCCTATAACATAATACTCGTGTTCTTTAAATCAACAATTACCTTAAACTCAAATATGCGAAATCATGATTTTAGACCTCCATAATCGAGAATGATGTCTTGAGGAAATTGTAGCAATTTTCAACTTATTTTGATGATTTTTAATTATTTTTTAAAGAATTTTAAAAGATGAAATTAGAAAAAGTAATCAAAATGACATGTGGAGCAACCGTGGCACACCTGATGGAGACACTGACAATGCCACCTTCAGCTGCTGCCACGTGTCGCTCTATACTATTTAATATTATTTTTCGTTGATTTTACTTATAAAAGTCATAATTAATTAATTAAAAATCCAAAAAATGCACCAAAAATTCCTAAGAACTCGTTGTGGCATTCTCTACACTCTCAAACTATAAAAGTAAAATTTTCACTTATAAAAATGTAAAGTAATAATGAAAAATCAAATTTATTTCTAAACAATATAAAAACACTAGATGTTTTGTAACTTAACACTCATGTTCTTTGATCCAACGACTACCTTGAGCTCAAATATGTGAAATCCTAATTTTGGACCTCCATAATCGAGGATGATGTTGTGAGGAGTTTGTAGCAATTTTTGGTGTATTTTTCTGATTTTTATTTTTAATTTTTAATTTTTTTTAAAGATAAAGTTAAAAAGTAATCAAAATGACATGTGGCGCAGTCGTGTTACACCACCTTTTAGAAACACTGATGGCACCACCTTTAACTGTTGCCACGTGTTGCCCTATACTATTTAATATTATTTCTCTTGATTTTACTTCTAAAATTCATAATTAATTAATTAAAAATCCAAAAAATACATCCAAAATTCTTAGGAACTCTTTGTGACATTCTCTACACCCTCGAGCTCTAAAAGTATAATTTTCACTTATAACTAAAAATATGAAAAATATACTCCAAAAAAGCTACATGCTATGTGCTTCTTCAATTTCACAAAGCACTTTAATTTTTTTATGAAAATTCAAGATTTTTATAATAAAAGCGCTTTTGTTAGAAGCACTTATGAGCAGAAGTACTTTCTTAAGAAGCAATCCCAAATGAGCCATTCCACTCCTCACCTCGCCACAACCACCCATCCCCAACCCAATGCCCCAACCCTAATCTTATTAGTACATCCACCCCACAGAATCACATGATGCTTCTGCTCTTACTTCTTATGCCTTCAAAGATCTTCCTGAGCAACTTGTATTGGCTTCATATGCATCTCTTGGAATATTACCTTGTCCTAAACCTAGAAAGAATGCTTTTTGAAATTCCATTTTAAAAAACTAGAATTATGGGGGGAAAACAAAATAGAGAAGATGGGTATGATGATTAATCCAAAATGTATCGTAAGTTATGAAATAGTATATGAATATTTCTTTGTAAAATTTGGTGAAAAATCAGAATTTGTAAATAAAAAATTAAAAGAATTATTAGAAAAATAAAAAATAAATAAAAGGGGAGAACATCCATCCCAGCCCATGCCCCTGCTCCTTTCTCCCTTCCCTTCCCCTCCATTCTAACCACCCTAGCCTGCTAGCCACCCCTCCACCACGACCATCCCACCCCACACCCACCTAAAACCCAACTTAGATCAAATTCAGTTTTGTGTATTTCATTCTAGTTAAAAGAAGGAAAAAAAAACCCATATATGGAACTTGAGTTTCGTGGATGTCAAAGAGAGAGAAAGAGATGGGTTGGGTGGTGAGAGAAGAGGTAGAGGGAGGGTACTGGATCATGGATGTGAGGTTGTTGGCTGCCGCATAGAGAGATAGGGAGATGAGAGATAAAAAAAGAGAAGAAGGGAGAAAGGTGAAACCGAAGCTCACTCGTGGGTTGTGATTTTTCATATGGGTATTTTTAACATGGTTGTAACAAAACTACACTTTTGAAACTGAACTGTTCATTTTAATTGGATGGCTCTTAGATACCTCGCACAGACACCCCCGCACAACTTACCTTGCATTCTAGCAGCTCCCCTAAAATTAGGGGTGGGCACGGTACGGTATGGTACGGTATTGAACCCGTACCGCTACCGATACCGGAAATTTAAATCGGTATGGTACGGTATGGGATTATGGTTTGCCAAAATTGGTACCGTACCGTACCGTGCCAAATCGGTATCGGTACGGTATCGGTACCATTTCGGTACCAAAATGATACAACTAAAAAATGAACCAATTCAATATTCAACACCAAAATAAATGATGCCTAAGTTACAAATTCAAAGATTCAACATATTCAATTTCAATATCCAAATCCTAATCAACATATTCAATATCCATCAACATATTCAATATTCAAATCCCAATCAACATATTAAATATCCATCAACATATTCAATATCCAAATCAACCAAATCAATATTTATCCATCAAGAGATTCATCAAATTCAAATGGTTAAAACTCATGCCTTATGGCTTACAAACCAAAATAGTTAAAATTATGCATTATGGCTTACAAAATACAAACACAATCCAAACATAAATAACAAAAACATAAAGTTATGCAATCCAAGCTTCATTTGCAGCCCCTAGCTTTGAATTCAAGTATCCCCATCATTTGCATATTCTGCAAATTACCCAAACAACCATTAGAAAGAATTCAATGCAAACTAATATAAATAAAAAACAATATTTAAAATAATTTTAAGTACTATTCGGTACGGTACGGTATTGACCGGTATCAAAATCTTGATACCGCTACCATACCATACTCTATTCGGTACGGTACGGTACGGTATCGAATATCTATCGGTACCAAATGAAACGGTATAAAATCGGTACGGTACGGTGCGGTTAGGGTACGGTTTCGGTATTTCGGTTTAAGATGCCCACCCCTACCTAAAATCCTATATGTTGTTTGGTGGGCCTAAATGCACATCTAGGGTTGATTGGGCCTCATGTTTTGATCGGATACCAATCCAGTGAATGAGGGTTTTATAAACCCAAGCGGAACCATGGGTTCAAAGCCTCTGCCTTCGGCTTTCACCGCATATGCAGAGCACCTCCTTCTCATCGTGTGTTTTTCTTCTTTTCATTTTCCCTTGTGACTTCAACAGCTCTTTGTGCCATTCTGAAGGTAGATTTATTTCCTCAATGCATATATGGAGCTGTGATTTTTTTTTGGATTCTCTCTTCTCTCTCCTCTCAACTATCATCTCTCATCTCTCATCTCAGATTTCTTTCTATTTTTTTAAATTTAAATGTTAAATATTGACATGTTTTGATGATTGCCATCACTTTTTTCTGGGTTAGAGGTCGAGATCTATGGTTGTTTTGGGGGGTCCCTTTTCTTTATGATGATGGGTTCTATATTTTGTTTATTATTATTTTTTTTAATCAAAGATGATGGGTTATGTTTGTTTGTTCAGAAAATTTAGTAAATGAAATCAGCGGTAGCAAAAAGTTTCTAAATTGCAATTCGTATAAACAGTAAATTAATTTTGAAATTAAAAAAATTAAGTCCAATGTTGTCCAATGCAGCCAATGAACTGGACTTAAGTCCAGTCCAGTCCAGTGCTTTACCAAACAACTCAATAGGACTTGAAGTCTAGCCCAATCCAAGTCAATCCAGTCTAATACTCCAAGTCCAATCCCAATCAGTCCAGTCTAGTCCACCAAACGGAGCCTTTAAGTATTGCCCTAGAAGTAGAGGTTATACACTCGTACACTACCTTGATTAGTCGTCTCATAAAATGCAATGAGGATATTTCGTTTGTATGATTCTAGCAGTAGTTGAGCTAAAACTCATGAATGATAAGAGGAATTTAGGGATCCTTAGAAAATCATCTTTGTAATTTTGTTATAGTTTAAAAAAACTAAAATATGTAGAATCAACAAGATGTAGTTCAGCTTTCAGACCAAAACCAATAAAAAATAAAAAGATGTAGTTCAGCTATTCAAGCAACAATATGTTTGCTGTTGCTCACTTGCCGACTCCACGTGAAAAAGGTGGGCTGTTTTAGTCATGCCCGACAATCATATGTTTGCTCTGGTTGAGCTCTACCTAGTGCCCACTCCATATGAAAATGTGGATTAATGCAAGACTACCATTGCAAGAAGAGATATTTAGTTATAGGGTTAATTACTGTAGACGTCCTCGAACTATGGCCACATTTTCAATTGGGTCTGTGCACTAAATTTTGAGGCAACGAACTCTTTTAATTAGACAATCAGTTGCAATTAGGTCCTGCCGTAACAGAATCCGTTGAGATTGACCATGTGAGTGTCACGTGCTCTTGTTGTTCGGGGTATCTTCGACTTTTCGTCGTTTTGAACGAAAAAAATCAAATTTAGCGTTGAAGAAAGGGAAAAGCACGTGAACTATCCCTTCTGAGGCAGCCATTGGAGTTGTATACGGTGAGCTATCCCTTCTGAGGTAGCCAATGGAGTTAAATTTGCTAAAGCAGTGACTGAGTGAGTGAGAAATTTTCTGTGTAAGCTTCGAAATTTGGGGTTGATCGGGGGTACAGTTAAAGGTTAGGGTTTCATTTTAGGGATAGTTGGGTTTTTCGTCCTTTTGGCTGATAGTGATGGAAGAGTTTGACTTTCGTTGGGGTGGTGTTGCTCCTAAATACAGTAAGTGATTCTGCCTGTTTGAATATGTATCAGTTGGTTTTGTTTTCATCTGTGTGGTCCATAGCTTTTAAAGATTGCTTTTAAAGATTCCTTACACACTTTGCTTTATACTGTCATTGACTGCAACACTTAGGGGTTTTTTTTATCCCTTCTTGTCTTCTATCCATGCCTCACACCAAATGGACTGAAGTTATTCCATAGCAATTAAAAAACTGAACGAACTGTGTACTGTACATTTTGGTTTTGGTGCAAAACATTGAATTAAAACATGGTTTTGTCTGATTTTATGATTCCAAAACAGGTGTGTGTGTGTGTGTGTGTGTGTGTGTGTGTGTGTGTTAGCATTGTTTTGACCCTTGTTTACTGTGCGGGTAACTATGAAAACTGTAGTTGAGAACTTCACCATGGGGGTGTGTTGGAAAGTGGGGAGTATAAAAATGGAAAAGTTTGTTACTTGGAGAATGTTGTAGAGGATTTTTTGTCATTGGTGGACTTAAGAAAGGTAGGGAAAGGGCTTGGTTACAATGTAGACATTTCCAACCCCAAACCAATATGGAAATATGGTATAGGAAGGGTGGAAACTCATGGTGTAGGTGGGCTTGAACTTATCAGCTCTGATGCTAAATTGGTTGACATGCTAGGCCAAATGCCATGTAATAGGATTGTTGTGTTTTACTATACTGAAGTGGGCAATTGTAATACAGTTTGGAGTGAAGCATTTTTGGGTGCCAAGGTTTGGATGGTGCAGACAATCAGGTGGAATATGAAACTAGGGTGCAAGATGAAACTGGGGTGGAAGATAATGTTGATGTTGAAGATAAAGATGCAGCTGAGGTTGTAGACAGTGAAGAAGATGATGGAGAATTGTTGATAGTGATTACGAGTTCAGTGAAGAAGAATTTGGGTTTAAGACAGTTGAAGTGCCTGTTCATGAAGGGGCAGAGGACACTATGAATGTTAGCAATGAGGGAACTGCTTTTCAAGCTCCTGGAGAGGTGTCATCAGATGGTGAGCACACCTCAGATTTTGATACTGAAAGTGAGGGTGATGGGGATGATATGGAAGGAGATAATGAAGGGAGAAGTAAGGTGAGAAGGAAAAAAAAACTGCCTCCGTTTAAGCAGTATAGAAGGGAGGTGGACTTAAAGAATCTTGAGTTTCAGCTTGGGATGCAATTTGAAAACAGACAGGTTCTTAAAGAGGCACTCAGGGAATATTCCATTATTCATGGAAGGAAATTGTTCTTTGAAAAAAATGACAAGACGAGAGTAAAGGCAGTTTGCAGAGGAGGATTCAAATGTCCATTTGTGCTTTATGCTTCACAGATAAACCAGGATGTGCAAACATTTGCAATTAGAAGTTGAGCTTAGAACACACATGTGGAAGGTGGAGAAACTGAAGTTTGCTAATCCTAAATGGATTTGTGAGAGATTTTCTAGCAAGATTAAGAGAAACATAGATTGGAATATGAAAGCTTTTCAAGGAGAAGTTTTGGAGTCCTATCATGTGAAGGTGTCCAAAACTTAAGTGTATAGGGCAAAGAGATTGGCTAAAGCACAAATTTAAGGAAACTACATACAACAATATGCACGTTTGTGTCTAGCTGCTTGTAAAAAAGGGTTTTTAGCAGGGTGCAGGCCTATAATTAGGGTTGATGCTTGCCATTTGAAAGGTCCTTATCCTGGGCAAATATTGACTGTTGTAGGAGTTGATGGTAATAATCATCTTTTCCCAATTGCATATGTTGTGGCTGAGATTGAAAACAAGGACTCGTGGATTTGGTTTCTATCTTTGTTGATTGAAGATTTAGGTATTACAAATGGTTTATCCTGGGCTTTCATAAGTGATAAGCAAAAGGGCTTATACCTGCCATTGCACATGTACTACCAATTGCAGAGTATAGGATGTGCGTCTGGCACTTGTACAATAATTTCAGAGCAACACATCTTGGTCTCACTCTTAAACACATGTTGTGGGCAGCTGCCAGAGCCACTACTATTCCTTGGTGGGAAGCAAAAATGGAGAAGATGAAGGAAGAGGACTTGGAAGCTGGAAATGGTTGGTGCATAGACCACCCAATAATGGGACTAGATCTCATTTTCATCCAAGGTATAAGTGTGATCTTCTGCTGAACAACCTTTGTGAGAGCTTTAATGCAGCTATAATTGATGCCAGAGATAATTCCATTTTGACATGTTTGGAAAGTATTCGAATGTATGTGATGCTTAGGATGGCTAATCGAAGGGCTGCTTGTGGTAAATGGAAACACCCTGTTGGCCCAAGGATATTCAAAATAATTGAGAAGAACAAGATGGGAGCTTCTAAATCCATTCCTAGATTGGTTGGGGAGAAAATATATCAAGTCAGTCACATGTATGGTGGGGAGTTTGTTGTAGATCTTCCAGCAATGTCTTGTAGTTGTAGGAGATGGGATTTATGTGACATACCCTGTGCACATGCTATTTCAGCTATATTCCACAGAGATGAAAACCCTGTTGAATATGTACATGAGTGTTATAAGCCAGAGACATACATAAGGTCATATGAACCAATAGTTCCCCCATCCCTTCTATGGATCAGTGGGTTAAGGGTGGCTTGCCTCCAATTAGACCTCCATTTCGTAAGCGTCAACCAGGAAGACCCAAGAGATGAGGACAAAGGAGGCTGCTGAGGTTCAAGTACCAACCCAAACCCACCAAACCCTTTGCCTCCAGGTTACACTACTCCAGCAGCAAAACTTAGAAGAGTCTTCATTAAAATTAGATGTGGGGCATGTGGAAAAGAAGGCCACAATCGAAGAGGATGTGGAAGACAGGTTGATTAATTATTTCAGTTTTCTTATGAATTTTAATTATTTGGGTTGTGGTCAACTGTGGTTGTGATGTTTTATAGCTGTGCTTGTATGTTGTGTAGGTTGAGGCAACCCAAAATGGGAAAGTTGGCCAAAATGAAGTTCAAGCAGTTGACAATGGGAATGCAAGCCAAAATGATATTGCCTCAGCCCAAACTAATGCTGCCCGGCCAAAACTGACATTGCCCCAATCCAAAAAAAAGCTGCCCCAACTCAAACTCAAGTTAAGAGGGGCAGAGGAAGAGGAAGAGGCTTATGCAATCCACCTGCAAGGATGTCATCTTCACAACAAGTTAGTTGCCTATTATTCTTGCCCAACTCAGATTTTTATGTTTGCCTATATAGTAATATATGTTGTTTGTGGTTTTTATCTTAGGTGGTAAGTGATATCAGTCAAGGAAGGGCCAATCTGCCAATGACATACTCACAACAAGTGCCCTTGCAACCATCATCCTCTTCACTTACTCAACAAACCACGCCCTATACAGGAAGATTCAAACACAGTGTCAAAAAGGAGGACAAGTATAGACTGTGAAGACATATTTTGTGGACTTTTAATACCTATTTTGGACTCTTAAGTACTTACTATGTGGATGTGTATTTTGGGTGAACAATTATAGACTAAAGTATGCCATTTTGGTAATGTTATTTTGAAGGCTCTTTTGCCTATTCTATGTAATGTTTAGGTGTATTTTGGATTGTATGTAATGTGCAGTTGGTGAATGTTAATTGGTAATTGAAGCCTTTTAGATTGTATGTAATGTGCCCCTATTCATTGGTATACACTGCCAATGCAGCACAAAATCAGCTTATATAGCAAACATCTAATACACTGCCAAAGAGGCACAAAATAACCTTATGCTCAGGTTTCTGCCCATTTCTACACTACCCAATTCCTGCCATTTCTACACTATGCCCATGCCATCAAAAGCTATATATTCAAGAGTATATACAACATTATGCCCATTTCCTGCCATTTCTACACTACCAAATAATCCATATTGATGAACATATCACAATCATAAAACACAATAGAACAACAACCTGGAACCACCTTTGTCTTTGTCAATAACTCAAAATTTCCCTTCTAGTACAACAACTTGTTGACCCATTCCCAGATTCTCTTTTTTCAAAATCTTGATTTCTTCTTCATCTTCTCTCAGTTTTTGCTCTAATTTATTCTTCTCTTCTTCCATCAATATGAAATTCTCCGTCGTTGCTCTCAATTCTTCCTCCATTCCTCTTAGTCTTCTAAGTAACCCAGGAAAGATTCCTTTCCTCATGGGCATGTTTCATTCTCCACCTATGCGAAAAAATGCAACCCCCTCTTACTGTTCTGCAATTCAAACAAAACGAAACACCAATTTCAAACCCAACAAAACACCAATTTCTTCTCCAACCATGCGAAAAAAACGAAACACCAATTACTGTAATGCATTCAAACAAAAACTTACCCGATTATTGCAACATGCCTCAAATCTTCTTCCAGGATTCAGATCCGTCTATGAAGTCCGGCGTTTGATTTCTGACCCACACTCGCAGTAACGACAGGTGCAATTTGAATATGTTGAACTCTCCGACATTTTTCCTTCCCTCGCAACCCCTTCTCAGTTCTTCAATGCTTCAGTTGGGGGTCGAAGCGAAAGGTTTAAGGTGAGTGTTCAGATTCGAAGGAGAGTCTTCAGACTCGAAAATACGCTTTTACCCCTCATTTTGACGGATAATTTGACAGACTTCGACGTCAGGACCTAATTGCAACTGATTGTCTAATTAAAGGAGTTTGTTGCCTCAAAATTTAGTTCACGGACCCAATTGAAAATGTGGTCATAGTTCGAGGACGTCTATAGTAATTAACCCTTAGTTATATACTTATTCTTAGCACTAGTGATATAAATAAATTCTACAGAATTTAATTCTATAAACAAACTCAAAAAATGACAGTTGACCACACTGAATTAATTTTAATTATTAAATTACTTTAATACTCTATTGAGTGTTTTGAGTTTTTTTTATGAGGTTTTGGAGTTAGGCTTGTTTTAAGAAATCAATGGCAATTATGTAATTTATGGGAAGCTTGAAGCCTCTTTGTTATTGTGTAAATATGGGCTTTGGGGTGTGTTCTTAAATTCGATTTCATGTATGATTTTTTTATAATTTGGGCCCTTATATTTGATATAATAGTGAATCTCTTATAAAAGAATGAGAATTAAAAAGAGCCTTCTTAATGGTATGTGCACTATTATAGATAAAAGAGGGTACATAATCAATTACCACCCATCAGGGTAATAAATATGAAACTATTTCTCTTTATTTTGACTAATAGAATCGTTTCCAAATATTTTTATAAAATCCAAATAATTCATATGTCATATGAACCGTATTATTGATGAACCATATTTATCTTTTTATAAGACAACTCAGACTCCACCGAGACTAAAACAACTCGGACTCCAAGTAGATTGAGAGAGCTCAAACTGCACGTCTGCTCTGACACCATTAAAACTGTTATGGCTTAATGATGATTGTCATGAGAATGAGATCAGAAATCTCCAGCTCGGACGCCACTAAGACTGATTCGACTTAGTGGTGACTATACTGACGCCAATGGATTTCGCTAGCTCAAACGTCGTTATGGCTTCGTGGTGGCTATCACGAGGAACCATATCGGATATCGCTAGCACGAGAGCCACGAGACCGATTCGACTTAGTGATGACTGTCACGATGCACCAAAGCGAGCTATCTCATTCTCTATGTTGTCTCAGTTGTCTTAGTCTCGGTGTAGCCCGAGCTGTTTCAGTCTTGCTAGAAAGCAAGTTGTCTCTGTCTCGATCAGTGCTATCCAAGTTGTCTTAGTCTCGGTGAGCCTGAGCTGTCTAGTCTCAGTTCTATCCAAGTCTCAGTCAGGTATGGACCTAGTAAGGAACTAACCTAGGTTGTATACCCCAGGCAACTTTTCTTGTCTTTCAACTCAAATTACGTTTAGCCCACCTCTGCTAGTTAGAAGATTGACTTGCAAATCTTCGCAAAGGATAGAAAGAGTGTAAACATAATAAAATTTTCCCCGATTAGTGTGAAAATTAATGTTATCGATATTGGAAACTATTTTTTCTTTTTGAAAACATTGGAAACTTTACTTTGGATTAATTATGTTCTACATCAATTCTGAGTTGATAAACACGTGATCAATTATTTTTAGATTTTTTGGAAAACCATTCATATCACTAGTTTTCCTTTTGTTCAGCTATAGCGATAAGAATTACTTCCATTACATTTTCTCATAAGAGTTCCTATGAGAAAAATTAGTCAAAGACTTTTATTTTCATGAAATAGAGAAAACTCTGATAATAATATTGGTGTTCTTGCTTATATGAATAATATCAATCAGTGAGATTTAATGAATTAATTAGTTGCTGACAAATTGTCTTATATATATTATTTAATAAGTTATACTTTTATACTGTCGGGTCAATATAAAAAACCTAAGAGATCAAAGATTCTTTGGAATTTTTTTGTTATCAATGAACTTCACTCATATCATTGAGTTTTCTATCTTCTTAGTAGGTGTTGAGGCCCAAAAAATCCACAGCTTGGCCCAAATATATTCTCGGACCAATGCGATACCTTATCGAGAAGAAACCCAATTTGGGCACTCGAAAGTTCGTCATATGCACTTGCACACATGCCACGCCAAGCAAATAAGCAACACGCCACGCTACAGCTTGGAAGACCACGTGGGCTGTTGGGAAGGAAGGAACAAGTTTTCAAACAAAACATGCAAGGAACCAAAAGATATTGGCGCGCAAGGAGCCACCATTCAAACCAGCATGTATACCAATTTCTTTCCTTCATCATATCTGACCATGAAGGAGGAAAGAAAGAGAGGAAATGTGATATCTGAAAATAGGAATTCTTCACTAGTGCAGCTGCAGGAAAGGAACCTTGAGCTCCCAAAAATACCTGATTTTGTGCAAATGGGCAGAGAGATTTCACCAAAATAGTTGATGAGGGGAGAAAGGAAGGGAAAGACTTGGCCAAATTGGATAGAAACCATTAGGGTTTCTTGGAAAATGATAGCTTCCAGCGCCTATAAAAGAGGCATTTCCTACCCATCATCACAACACACATCTAGATAGCAAGCTTCATCTCTCATCTTTGAAACTCTGCAATTTCGTGCCATTTTCCTCCATCTCCTCCCATTTTCTCTTATGGCAAGCCATTCCTGAGTCTGACATAACTTTTGTCAAGCTGCTGGAAAATTACCCAAAACACCCAATGCTTCACCACTAGCCACAACCACATCCAGAGAGCAAGCTTCCTCTCTCACCTGCAAAACCCAGCAAATTCGTGCTCTATTCATCATTTCCCCCTATTTTTCATCTTATGACAGGCTGTTCTAACACTTGACAAAGCATTTGTCAAGCTACCGGAAAAATACTCAAGCCACTCATTCCTCTCTCTTTCCCTCATTCTCAGCCAAACCTTCATGTAGACCTTCTTCTCTGACCTTAACACCCCTTTTTCGCCCCCAAGAACTCATTACTTTCTCTTCAGTGCTAAACTCATGTTAATTTTGCTCCCATGCCACGAGCTTCTCATGCCAAGCCAAGAATTTATCTGTAAGCTGTTGTTAGTTTTGTTGGTGAAGGTAACCAAATTATTTTATAAGGCTTCACTATCCTTTCGAAGCATTCTTGGGGCTTGATCTTCGAACTCAGGCTCAAGGGGCAATTTTATCCATTTTGCTATTTACGGTAGCCCAGGCCCGTAGTTGCCGAAAGAAAAAAGCCCCTACAGTAGGTTTGCAGTAAATTTAACCCACCCCATTTTGAAATCCTGGGACCATCCCTAGTCTCAGTCCTAGTGTAGCCCAAGTTGTCTCATTCTCTATGGAAACCGAGATGTCTCATTCTCTATGGAAATCGAGATGTCTCCTTCTCAATGTAGCCCAAGCTGTCTTAGTCTCAATGTAACCCAAGTTGTCTTAGTCTCGATGTAGACCAGGTTGTCTTAATCTCATTGTAGCCCAGCTCATTGTCTCAGTCTTGGTGCTATCCGAGCTATCTCAGCCTCGGTGCTATACGAGGTGTCTTTGTCTTAAAGTTGGTGTGTTAGCAATTGTCATTGGCTTTAACTTCTCGTCATAGATGGAATCCCCCTAGCCTCGAGGCGATAGTGGAACCTAAACCGAGCTGAGTTGATCCATTCACTATTCTATGATTGCTTGTTGCCTTTTGTGGTTGATCTGCTTATAGAGTTTAGTGGTCGGCTGCGAAGGCGTAGTGATTGTGCTTTCTCCACGACATGTGATTATTCACCATTGCTAGTGGGTGAGAGAGGCAGAGAAGTAAGCATGGGTGCCTTGGTCAGTCGTTCGCTTCATGCCTTTTTCTTAGAAGGGGGCTTGGAGATGTTGGTGTGTGGATCAGCCTATGTAAACACGTATAATATGCCCTTGGTTAATCTATATATATATAAAGAAAAGGCAGAGAATGGTGAAACATTCAAAATGCCAAAAAATGCCCTTGGTTAATCCAAACATTAAGAATTGACATTATTAATTAAATGATGATAATATGGTAAATTCATATTTTTCATATTAAAAAAATTAAAATTAAAAACAAAATCAGATAACAAGTCCTACTTTTATGGAACATAACTACCTATGTTATCTTTTCTTAATACTAAAAATAAAATAAAAAAGAAAAAAGAAAACCAATTGGCACATGCGTGAACGTGTGCCAATGGGCTAGTATCTATAAAACAAAAGGCAGAAAATGGTAAAACATTTAAAATACTAGAAAATGTCCTTGGTTAATGCAAACATTAAGAATTGAAATTATTAATTAAATGACGATAATATGGTAAATTCTATAAAAAAATTAAAATTAAAAGAAAAATAGATAATGGATCCTATTTTTATGGAACACATTATCTTTTTTAATTCGAAAATAAATTTAAAAATTTATTTAAAAAAATAGCCTCTCGCAGGTGCTGAAGTGCTTGCAGAGAGACTAGTTTCTATTTTAAAAAAGTCCTTAATTCTAAATTGCAACCAAGTGTTTCTTCACCAAATTTCTTTCAAAATTGCCCTCCTAACTCTCAATTACAACCATTGTTTTCTCAATCCAAAATTCGGAATGCATAATTGTTTTATTTTTTCTGGTCAAATCAAATGAACCGAGCTTCATTGATAAACAAAGGAATGGTCCCGAAACAGGGCCATTGAGAAACAAGATACTAGAACCATAAAAGCTTAGCATAGACATTACTACAGCCATAAGGGTAATTTTTATTCTTTTGTGCTTGTATTGGGCTAGATGTTTGTTTCATGATTTTTCTTTTATGTGGCTTCTTTTTAAGGTCAGACTATAATGAGTGGCAACTTATAAGGAGTAAGTTATAAGGGGTTCACTTTATAGTCATTAGATCAATCCTAGGGCTGGGGAGAATTGGGATAAAGTTGTGCAATCGGGTAGGTGAGGAACCCAAACCCGATTTAATATCCAGCAATGAAATTGGTCCCAAAAAAAATAAAAATAAACAAGAGGCAAGTTCGAAGTTTGAACAGAAAAAACCCATTGATCTAAAACCCATAGCTCAGAGAAACGGTTGAAGGCAACGGGCAACGACGATTGAAGGCAAAGGTTAACGACGGTTGAAGGCAACGGTTGAACGCAACTCTATTATCTAAATCGTGAAAAAGTATTTATTTTGAGTGGAAGGAGCAAAGGCGTGGATTCTGAAACAGTGGAAAGACGAAGCAGTGGAAGGGGAAGGAGAGAAGCCGTATTCGTTAGAAGTGATAGGTTCCATTTGTGGAGCAAAGCCGCACAAAGACCCAGCACAGACACCTTGCGATTGTTCAATAACCAGCATTTGGTGACTAATTTATCGAATTTGAGTTTAGGGTTAGAGTAACCGTTTTCCCCAATTTGTACCACTAATGTTGTTGGATTTGGCATCTTTTCTTTGTGCTTCACTTGCATGTTAATTTTTGCTTGGGTATATGTTAAAAAACGAATGAAAATCAAGTCAATAACATGTCAATAATGATATGAATAAGGTAATGGTGTTGAATTGGAGGAGGCCCTCAAAACCTTCCACATTTGAAGCAGTGCAGAGTGCAGATTATCTCTCTGGCGCTAGAATATATATAATTTTTGAAATAATATTATTTCCGTTGTTACTAAATTTGCCTGTGAAAAATGAGAACAGATAATAATAAACTCATGAATAAAAGTGCAAAACATTTGAAAAAAGGTTGATCTATGACGATTATGGCTGACTGAAGAAAAATCTAGAAAGAAAGAAGGATGTGGCAATGGCTTAGCAAGCAGATAGCAGAGCAGATGCTTTGCTTTGCTTTGCTTCCTTCCACCATCTTTCTTATTTATTTATTTATTTGGTGTTGTGTATGAGATGACAATAATTGTCATGTGTGTGAAGTGCAGAACTTGCCTAGATTGCACTCACACTCACTCATGCATCAACCATTGATTGGAGTTTGGATCCATAAATAAAACACATGCTATTGCTTGTAATTCACAGAATCATTGCATTAACAGGTATTTGCACAAAATTTGTCATATTTCTTTGATGATGTTAAAGCCTGTGATGAGTAATCCTTATGTGCTAGTTGACTAGTTGTGTAAATACCAATGTGATTGTGCAAATACGTGGTAGTATATGTGTTCACCTTATTTCATCTTGTATTTCAGGAAATGGGATCCAACGTGGAGCTGGTATGGCCAGAGTCAGAGGCATATTCCTCACGGGTGAACAACTGCTCACATGCAAATTCATCCCTAGCTGAAATTCGAGCGAAGTTGAGTGCCGAATAATTAGAACAATTCAAGACATCATGCTTTGGCCATCTTCTGAATATAGATAAGATTCAGTTTAGCGGACAGATTGTGCATGGGGTTTTGTTGCATAGAGTAGCGGGGCAGGGTGTGAAAGACTTGGATGGACTAAGTTTCTTAATAGGGTGCGACGTTGCTCAGTTCACTCGTCAGGATTTCTGTTTGATCACAAGGCTTTGTTTTGGGGAAGTGCCTAAAGTTTCCAATGGAGAAAGTGATGAAATTAGACTTCAGAAAAGATATTTTATAGACGAAGGAGTTACATGTAATGCTTTAGAAGAAGCATTTCTGCGGTGCACAGAGGAAGATGACATCTACAAGCTAGCTCTTGTTTACTTTGCTGAGTTAGTGGTTTTGGGAAGGGACAAGCATTTGAACATCAATCTAAATTACCTGACTCTTGTAGAGGACTTGGATGCGGTCAACAGGTATCCGTGGGGTTCGGTGTCCTTTGAAAAAACTCAAGACAATCTGTTTTCTACACTAACAAAGTATGTGAAAAGCTTTGAAGAGGGAAGAGGGAAGGGGAAAAGTAAGGTAACGGGAACAAGCCGGAGAAATGAGAAGGGCAAGAAGGATAAGCATGGTGAAGTGCAAAGGGGTGGCTGGAGTTTTAAAGGTTTCATGTATGCTTTCCAGGTACATGGTAATAATGTTCATGTCGTTATGTTTTGTGGACTTTAAAACTTAAATAATAACTTTTGTCCTGTGAATTGTGTAGATTTGGGTATATGAATTAATTCCTAGAATGGCGGACCTGAATTACTGCAAGGTTGTTGATCCGACAGCTCTCCCGCATATTTTGCGATGGAGAACTACTACGTCTGTTCCCGAGATGAGAAAGTTGAACAATTATTTTTTCCAGAGCAAAGAGGTTTGGTTTGCAGCCCTTGGAACTATTTATAAGATTCAATGAAATTATGAAGTAGAATGATTGCACATGACTCTTGTCTGTTTTCTGAAACAGTCAGTTCAGTTGCGGGCGCTATGTCCAAGTGAAGAGGAAATGAGACAACCATATTGGAGTTGGCCACAGGATCGCCCTGTTGTTGTCTCGGCAGAGTCAATTCCTTCTTCATGTGCTGACCTTGATGAGTTGAACAAGGCGTTAAGCTTGTTGAGGTCCGAGTTGTTTCAAGTAAAGCGGGGAAAAGGATGTCCTTGAGTTAAAGGTCATACGGATGGAAAAAAATTTGGACCACTGTTTAGGTCCTCATTTTGAGCAGGAAGTGAGAAGGGAAATAGCTTTACTGAAAGAATGGACAAATCATTGTGTCGTGTCACATCTATTTAAGGGACATGAGGAAGTGGATGACATGCAATGGGATGAAGGGCCAAGTAACAGAAATGAGGGAGAGGAAAATGAAGAGGAGGACATTGAAGGGGGTGAAGGGCAAAATAACATAAATGAGGGAGAGGAAAAGGAAGAGGAGGGGATTGAAAGGGGTGAAGGGGCAAGTAAGAGAAATGAGGGAGAAGAAAAGGAAGAGGAGGGGATTGAAGGGGGTGAAGTGCAAAGAAAACCAAGTGAGGTAGAGGAAGCTCAAAGGAAAAGAAGTGAGGGAGAGCAAGTGAAAATAAAAAGCAACAAGGGAGAGGAAGCGCAAAGAAAGAGCATTAAGGGAGAGGAAGTGAATAGAAAAAGCAATGAGGGAGAGCAACTACAAAGAAAAAGCAGTGAGGGAGAGGAAGGGCAAGGAAGTGAAAAGACAGAGAAGTGAATAAAAGGAAGTGCAAAGAAACCAATGTGAGGAAGAGGATGATGAAGTTATGTTGCTTGGCGATGACATTGGCGAGAGCACGGAGGGGACAAAGGTTGAGTTTACTCTCGGGGACATTGATTTGGATCAACCTACAGATGTGCTATCTCAGTTGAACATTTGGTTGAATGATGAAGGTAAAGCTGTGGAACGAGGGGTCCAATTACGGAAGAGGAAGAGGATTATTCCTATGTGGAAGATCTTTGAAGCTAGTGAATTGGTTAAAAAAAATTTGCCAGAGACAACCCGACTTCAGACGTTAGACCCAATGAAGGTGATTCCGCATGATGATATGGTGAAATTGCTAAAACTTTGTTGGGAATGGCGCCATAACCCAAAGTAAGTCCCTTGTTTTTGAGATAGAAGGCATGAGTGTATATATTTTTTAATTTTTGTGTTCTAAAACTTTTTTATATTCATAGTTTGGTGATGCAATTTGGCAACGTGGAAGCTGAGATTGAATTCTTCGCTTCCCTCGTCAAAGCTGACGGTTGGCTGAAAGGAGATGTAAGTTTAATTTATTATGCATTTGTTTTAATGTACATAGATTATGAGATTGACAAGAAAAACATGTGCAACACATTGATTTGGGGTTGTATCTCATCTGGAAGCGACAACAAGTGTTGGAGGAAATAGAAATATCGGACTGGACAACGATCGATGTATTTTTTATGGTATGTGATGCAGGATGCATAGGACCTAAATTGTTTAGTTACCAAATTTATTTGTTAGTTTCCTATATTCTTTAGTTTTCCAAATCCTAGTAGGATTTCTAAGTTAGTTTTCCAAATCCTAGTAGGATTTCTAAGTTTCCTATTTTATTAGGAATAGGATTTCTGTTTTAGCTGGGGATTTTAATTCTATTGTCTCTAGGTTTTAGTTTGCTATAAATACCCTTATGTAGTTCTTTACAATTCAGATTTGAATATTGATTAAACATTCCTTTAAACTCTCTAATTTTTGCCTGCCTTCTACCTTTTCTTCCCTTCAGCTTTTCTTATTTTTTGTCCTATTGCTCTGAGTGTTTAAACTAACACACCCAGGGCTGTGCTACATCAGTATGTCATAGGCCTTGACCAAGTGCAGTTAATAATTACAAATTATCCATACTTGCTTTGTGGAGGTGTTTAACCATTGATTGTTTTCTATTTCATAGAATCACATCCATACTTGCTTTGCGGTAATAAAAGAAAAAAAAGAGCAAGTTGGGTGGAAAATTAGAACCAGTTTACTGAACGTTGTAAATGGCAAGGTTCCGGCATGTGAGCGGATTGGCAGAATGCATATAAGGTGTATGCCCCTTGTATGTTGACGAAGTATAACCATTGGATGGCTCTAATGATTGATATGGTTCAGTGTGAAATCAAAGTGTATGATTCAATGGTTTCACTTATTCCAGATGAGATCTTAAAGGAAGAACTCACCCTGCTTTCAATTAAGATTCCAAATCTTCTCAACGCCATTGACTTTTATGAAGAAGGTGTTTACGCAAACGATTGCAGCCGAGATTGGTGGTGTCCGTGGCCAATACAATGCGTGGATGTTCCACAACAGTCTAATCAGTGAGCACAACTTTTTATTTAATTTTATTACTTTAATTTGTCAATTACGTTAGAATGTCATTAGTTGAATTGATCGAGTTCTTGTTTTGCTTCAGAGGCGATTGTGGCATGTTCGTGTTGAAGTACATTGAGCTTTTGAGCGCTAAGATTCCGTTAGCTACATGCCATGATATTGGGTTGAACTTGGTTTAGGTACATGATGATTAAATAGGTTTTGTGAATGTCCAATTTCAAACTCATGTAAATACACAATAGAGACCCACGGGTCCTTTTCGAATTCTACCTCTGCTCCTCAATTCTTCTTCGTCTTTCTCAATCTTAGTGTATTTTTGTACATAAATTTAGATTTCAGTTATTGGACAATAACAATTAGAACCAAAATAGTGGAAAATATTATAGCGGATGCATGCTTTCATTTCGATTAGTGTGATATTATGCTACGTTTATTCTCATATTGTGCTAAATGTATATGGAGTTGGATGCAGAGCATAGACAGAAAAATGAAGAATATGAAATGGAGATGGTGAGGCTTGGTGAGGAGAAAAGTAAATGGATCTGTAAATCTATTGCATGTGGGCAATCTAAATGGATAGGCAGATGCATTTTTGAAGTTAGACACATGCCATTCCCATACATAGAATGTGCATTTGGAGTGTAAAGTTTTTTGATTTAATGAAACAAACATCTGTGTAATATTGGCCTAACTCCTTCACGACATTTACCTAACCTTAACCAAACTGTGTTGAATTGGGATTTGAAGACTGCATATGTGAATTGGGATTTGAAGAATGCATATGTGAATGGGGACTGATGGCTTTTTAAGTGTATTACATCATTGCAAAGTGATATGTCATCATTTATCCAAGCCACCATTCCAAATATCATATCCCAATCTTTAAGCCGTTCAACATGTCTTGACTTAATCGCAATGGGTTGCATCTTAATAAGGTAATTTTGTAAGGGAATAGGTGGCTATGGCCTCGCCTCCAATGTTTTATTCAACCATGCCCTCTTTATAGAAAAACATGAAAAAATGTCCCCAGGTGCAATGCTATAAAAACTCCCTATTGGTTCCGTACTGCCCCTCGGGTTTGAATCCCTCTCTCCTTTATAATCGGTTCATAAATTCGTTGATTTTCTTTATTTTATTGGTTTTGGGCAGCTCAGTATCATAAAAGTAATGTATATTGGTGCGCCTATATTGCATGTCTGTTGGGTCTATATTGCTTGTCTATTGCGTGCATATCTTACATTTATTGCATGTGTATTGATTTTTATTGCTTACGAAGAAAAAAAAATAACAATACACAGGCAACAGACAAGCAATATACACATGACAGACAAGCAATATACACGCAATAGAAATGCAATATACACGCAATAGACATGCAATATACATCAATCCCCAATTACACCAACCATAAGGAAGTCGTATTGAATAGGAAATTCTACTTAACAGTTGTTCTTCCTACTAAAAGAAAGAATAAGGACCATTTCCCCCCTTAAATCTAACTCTTTAAATCTTACTTGAGTGGTACTTTTGCCCCCAATAAACATGCAATATTGGATCAATAACATGCGATATACATGCAGTAAATTTTTTTTTTTTTTTTTTTTTTTTTTTTTTTTTTTTTTTTTTTTTTTTTTTTTTTTTTTTTTTTTTTTTTTTTTTTTTTTTTTTTTTTTTTTTTTTTTTTTTTTTTTTTTTTTTTTTTTTTTTTTTTTTTTTTTTTTTTTTTTTTTTTTTTTTTTTTTTTTTTTTTTTTTTTTTTTTTTTTTTTTTTTTTTTTTTTTTTTTTTTTTTTTTTTTTTTTTTTTTTTTTTTTTTTTTTTTTTTTTTTTTTTTTTTTTTTTTTTTTTTTTTTTTTTTTTTTTTTTTTTTTTTTTTTTTTTTTTTTTTTTTTTTTTTTTTTTTTTTTTTTTTTTTTTTTTTTTTTTTTTTTTTTTTTTTTTTTTTTTTTTTTTTTTTTTTTTTTTTTTTTTTTTTTTTCCCCCGTCGACTCTGAAACAGAAGTAATATGCTCATGTTGTATATTAAGCTTTTGGCTTCTTTTGTATTTTTATTATTATTATTATTAAAATCTGTTGTATATATGCTTATGTTGTAGGTTAAGAAGGTTAACAAAATGAGGCTCGCTGAGTACATTGAAGCAATGAGTGGTGTGAAGGTTTGGTCACAAGTTCTTAGAACTTCTATCCTGTTCATCTTTTCTCTTTTGTCTTGAAGGTATGTCTGATAGATTACACTGAAAGTTAACACTTTCAACTGCAGGTTAGTTTACATGCAATGTTTGATGTGCAGACAAAGCGAATACGCGAGTACCAAAAAGGCAGCTGCTTAATATACTTGGCATTATCCATCGATATGACTGTATCGAGGTAAATTTGATCTTATATGGTGAAAAACTTTGCATTCCATATTTTTATAACTTATTAAGAAAGAATTACCTTATACCTTCTAAAGGGAGTCATCACCGTCCTCCAGCACTGTGCACACCTAGTTCATCTTCTTGTCACGGTGATTTAAGAAGTTGGACAGTAATTTGTTGATTTTTCAATGAGATATGATGTGCAATTGGAGCTTTCTTCTCATGTTTTTGGTATTTTAGCCCTAAACCCTAAAATAACATGACAAAACTGTATATTTAAAGGGTATGACCGAGCGGCTATACGCTTCATATATATAAATATATATTGGAATATTTTAAACGTATAGCCATTCGGCTATACTTTCTAAATACATTCGAATATTTTAAGGTTATAGCCGAACGACTATACTCTTTAAATATATTCCAAAAGCTTGCACTCGCAGTCGTTGCTTCGTCCTCGTTGTTCGGCACCGGAAAAAGACCCAACCCGCCTAGGCGCCCGCCCAGCCGCCTAGCTCCGGTCTAGCTACTGCCTAGCCGCCAATTCAACGCCTAGCCGCCTAGCACCCACTTAGCGACCGCCTAGCCGCCTAGCGCCCGCCTAGGCCGATTTTTCAAACACTGCAATTGACTGAGACACTTGAAGTTGGATGGTGTTTTCATAGAAGATGAGGGGTTTTTCAAATGGATCTCATGTTCATGTAAGTGCATCAAGGAGTTACATCTTGAAGATATTTCTGGAATAAATCAGATCACCATTGAAAGCTCCTCTTTGAAATCTTTTAGTTTTGTGCTTCATTCCCCTGTGTATATTGACTTTAACCTTAGCATCTCAGCTGAAAAACTTGAAGACATACTTGTTCACTTGGATCTTCATAACTGTGTGAAGAATTTGGTCAATATTTTTGCTCCAAATCTTAAGTATTTGAAATTGTTAGGGGATGATATATGGATTGGCCAAAGTTTGGGGAAATCTACGTCTTTAGAAAAAGCCGAGTTTTTTCTGGATTCTAATCGCCATTGCTTTAAAATATTGTCTGAGGTTCTCAGCAGTATAAACAAGGTTGAAACTCTTGCTCTAAACAGAGAGATCACCATGGTAACTAGATACTACTCTTCAAGATGTTCTTTTTATTTAATGGTTTTTGTTTTTTCAATTTTGTCTTGTTTAGGTTATATTCTTTCCCAGCATGGCAATAGGGGTAAGTTAATTTCAGAAAACTGATGGCAATAAGATTTGGTTATATTTTTCATTAATTTTGGTTATACTGGCTAGAATGAAATTTCATGTTGATGTTTCTTGTTTGTTTTAGAATTGTCAGTCTGAAACTTTGTATAGTACTTTGACAGATCAAGTACTTCAAAAACCATGATAGTTTCAACTTTTAGTTAGTAATGACTATTTCATCGACTTATTTTCTCAAATATATTGCGGTAGTTCTTTTCTTAATTAATGTTCGTAATTCTTGTCTTTCGGTTCCCTTATGTTTGTGTTTATAACTTGTGGGCTATCTTCTATGGATATTTCATGCCACTGCTATTAAAGAATGTTTGTTATTTGTCTATTCATGTTGGAAGCTTTCGTGATATGCTAGTCCCAGGAATGGTCTCCACTTTTCAAGGAATGTGTAATTTGAGTACTTTGGAAATAAAGTCTGACCCAGAATTCTTTGAATCTAAAACTGATGTAAGTGAAAGTGTTGCCTATTTCTTTCCCCCTCTTTCATGATTAGTTTTTTTTTGGGTGCGGAAATTTGAACTGATTTGCTTGTTGATTGTTGCCTTTCCTGCAGTGTTCTGGGTTTAATATGGGATATTGGAGATGGTAAAACATTTCTTTTATTCATCAACTTAAGGAAGTAACCATAGAGCTTTCCATTGGATCTAATGGAATTCAGTTTGCAAAATATGTGCTCGAGCATGCTCAGAATTTGAAGAAAATGACAGTTTTTCATGCACCTCAGCAGTCGAAAGCTGTAAGGAAGATAACAAAAAGCAAGATTGCTTCCAGTCACTGGCGGAGCCAGTGCATGCCCAGGGTGGGCACTGGCCCCCTCTCAACTATTGTTGTACATACAATTTTATGTTAGTATATTGTACAAATATTATAAAATTTCTCACAAATTCTTAAATGGCCTCTATTTTCTTTGTTTCTCTTTCATTTTTATGTCTAAATTTCTTTTGGATTGCATGTATTTTGTTATCATAAAAGAGTGATAGGTTATTCATATAAAAAGTAAAGAAAAAAAATTAGAGAAAAGTGATAAAATTAGGGATTTCTTAAAAATTAGGTTGATTTGTCATAAAAGAAAGTGTTTGAATTTTTAAGGTGCCCCCTCTTACTTAAATTTCTGGCTCCACCACTGCTTCCAGTGCCAAACTTGTCTTTTTGGAGGATAGAGAGAGGTTGATAATCATAATCTGAACAGCTCACCAGATGAAGGGTCGTCAAGGGTTGTCTCCCCAAACTTCCAGACAGCTCAATCAGATCAACTGCTTCTCTATGCTATTCAGTGTTTTGTTTGAATCTAAGCGTACTTGTTATTTTCATTTAACTCAAGTGTATACTGATTGACAATCCTAGATCATACATGCTTTTTTTTTTTAAGTCACAAGTAAACTGCTTAGAGGTTCCTCCAATATTTTAAGAGCCACATAATTTGGTAGATTACATGAAGCTTAGGGGCGTTTGGTATCCTATTAAAATAGAGAATTCAAAAACTTTGATTTTTTTTAAAAACAAGGAGTTCTTAAATTTATTTTGAAGATTCAAAAACTTGTTCGGTATGCAACTTGAAAACTGTCTTTCAATCTTCAAAATTTGAGAACTTGAGGGTTGTTAAGAAAAAACTGAAAAAATAGATATTTTTTGTGTTTAATAATTGGGGTGTTTTTCTTCATTAATAAATATATATATATATATATATATATATATAAGGGGGTGTTTTTTTAGTTGATCTTGAGTTTGAGTTTTTAAAAATTAGGCTACTAAACATGTTTTCTTTGTTTTGAACTCAAATTCTATTTTTAAGTTTAAAAAGTTGGATTTAAGTTAAATACCAAACAGACCCTTATAGTTTTTAATTTTTTTTAGTAGCTGCTTTTTGTTGCTAGCTTGTTTGGCTGTTTTGATTGCCACCCAACTCAGAAATTCTATCCCTGGAAATATGTTAAATCAATTCCATGGACAATCCAATATTAGTGCACATGATGGATTTTTCAGGGGACAATAATTTACTTAAGAACCGAGTGAATGATTTTGATGAATAGTTGTTCATTTGTAACTTATCTTTTTCTACTTATTTTAATTTTTTTTTTATAAACTTGTTTTTATCATTTACAATAAAGATTTGTATTGTTATTCATAGATTTTAAAGCGTAAATTTTTTTGCAAACTTTAGCATATAAATATTTATTACATATTAATACAAAAAAAGTAGTAAATGTATGCAAGATTCAAATCTTCAGCTAATAGGAAGAAAATTGAACCAGCTAACTTTCGGTCTGAATAGGATTGGTGGGTTGGTGGTGTCTGGGGTTGGTAATGGGTCGTGTAGTGTCAAGCTTATATACGTGTCAGGAATGCTCAACCCAAACCCGACTCGTTTAATAAACGTGTCATGCACGGGTTGACCCATTAAGTTCTCGAGCGGGTTTCGGGTCGTGTCAAGTTAACCCGCTAAGTGGTAACAACTAAAAGACATTAAAAAAAATAGAAAAATGAAGAATAAACAAATAAATTGACAGGACCCGACCCAAATTCCACTTTGGAATCTGCGCCGAACCTTGTGTGCGTCCGACACCTGGCAAGTGTCGGGCACACTTGATCAAATTGCCCTTCTAACTAAGACTCAACAATTCTTTTAAGGTTTGACTTCTGCCGAAAAATCAGCAGTGTCCCTTGTAAAATGAATATTTTCCAAAAACTTTCCACCTGTAAAAATACAATTAACATTGAAAACCATATCTCAATCGTTCAGCAAGCATCAGACAAATAACTTTGAATGGCCTCAGGCCTCTTTATACCAAATAAAACATTCTGCCATCGGAAACTGGTCTCAACTCTTAGAGCAACAAGAATACATTATCAAGTTCTAATATAACTTAACTGAACAAATTTTCAGCACTTGATCTTATGGCTGCACCTAGTAACCCTAGGTTGCCTACGTACCCTTACTAAGGGATCAAGCCATACGTAGTTCTTTCTACATAAATTGTAAGTAAATATAGGTTACTTAATCAAATAAAAGCGAGAAACCTTCATAAATAATTCAGATCAATCCACTAAGACTCAATCAAGGGCTATTGAGGTTAGAACAATCTGCTACTCATCCCACATGTGCATATATATAATTAACTTATTACTTATAAGTAGGAAAACGAGGAAATTATTAAAATAGTTGATCACGTGAAACCTTAATGTCAATATCAACAATTTAAATAAAATGTGTTTCCCTCTTTCACATGTAAAAACAAATTCATCACTTAAGAAAATAATTGTGAATTATATAAAATCCTTAAAACATAGAAAACTCTCAATACTTATCTCATAAGTTGGAAAACATATATTAAAACCTTCACTAGTAAGTACCAAAATAAAATCATCGATTTTAGTTTAAAACATCTCAAAATTCAAATACTCTCCACCTAGGCGTACCCCCATTCATGATCCGTCAATTCTACTAATATTCCATCAATTCCAATAATATTTCGTCAATTTCAAGTGTCACATAAGAGACACATCCTCACAGGCCTCGGAAACACAAAGTCAACTCGAGCTGCATTCCTCGCAAGACTCAGGGCACACTTAGTCAACCTGAGTCTCATTCTTCTCAAAACTCAGGGGATACTTAGTCAACCTGAGACGCATTCCTCTCAGAACTCGAACACGTAGTCAACCAGAGAACACACATCCTCGCAGAACTCAGGGGACATGTAGTCAGCTTGAGAATGCATATCCTCGCACCACACGGTTCAGGCATCCTCAAAACTTGTGGGGCATTGTCATAATTGACAAAGTTATTTCAAAGGCAACTGGGGGGTACTCCTATGGTGGGTTTGAAAACCATATTCGGAAACTTATCATAAACTTTTCCTTATTCCACAAATCCATTTTCTAAATTTTTTATCAACTTTCCAAAAATAAGTTCTCAACTACATTTAAATAATCCAATATCACTCAGTCATATACTTTAATAATAATCATAATAATAAAATAATTTAAAATATTAACCCATAGTGATCCCATATCCTTATTAACCCAATTTAAATCAAATTTTTTTAATCAAAACTCACTTATGCAATAAATTCCATAATAAAAGACTGAAGTACACTTAAAAACAAACGTCCACTCATTCCCTAATACATATAGCCAAAACCCACGGCTCACATTCACAACCCACCAATCAAGTATTCCTTGCTCATCTATTCCATAACTTCAATTATCAAAGTAATATCCAAGAATTTCATGAGATACTATAAAACAGTCTCATAATTCCAACATAAACAAAATAACTGAAATAACAGTCAAGACTTGTTTATGAGGTTGTTTTAGTAGTGCCCGAAGGGTGGAACTACCTTGGAAGACTCACGATTAATTGAGCGGTCAAACTGCACAAACTTGGTAAACCAGGCCCGCGAGCCCACGACCTTCGATTTCCTATCTGAGAGTTCCTACGGGTTCAACAAGGTTTACTATACCTGTCCTTCAAGTTTGGTCCGAAACGAACGGTCGGATCGCTTGCGATCGCATGATCAGACGATTATCATTTAAAGCAACTTTACGTCATTGAATTGGAGCATTCGGGACTTCAATTCACAATCCGTGAATTCCTACACGCTTCTAGAGATGCCTAGATCAACATATTTAAAAATGAAGTCGATTCAACTATCCGAGCATATCAGACTCGGATAATGCCTACTATGCGATATCTGATCGACAGTCAAATAATAACCAAAATCAAGTCTGAGCATACCCTCATGCTCAGGACAACATGAGGACCATTTTAGGACCAAAAGGGACATCCAAACAGTGCCCACGCGCTGGAACACTCACTGGCAGTGCGTGGGTGTCTTGAGAAATTTCGGTGACCGGAAAAT